TGGAGGGGGGGGTCGTACTGGCACCACTATTTCACACTTCTCGATGCTGTACCCTGTGTGAAGATGTGCGAGCATCCTAGCGAGATTGGTTCCTTCGCAGCTATCACCCTCGTCATCGATGCTAGCGCTCAGATTACCCCGGCGGGAGTACAGTTTTCCAACTGAGCGATTTTGCCTGACTTTCTGGTTTTCATGGCCTCTTGAGGGACACAGGACCTTCTGAGGAAAGTGAGAAACCGCAAGGAAGAATATCAGTGCTGAACCGAACCAGGAAGGTGAAGGGAAGGCTGACTCTGAGAAGTGACCCAGATGGGAAGACCACCTAGTTTCAGCTCTGTTGTGGCTGGATCTCGCTCATCTTCTTCGTTCTTCTCGTGTTGACAACGGATGAAAGCATGTTTGTTGAGAAGAAGAAGTGGAGACGAGACGCGGTCGTCGTCGTCCGGTGACGGCGACGGTAGTGGAGGAACCCGTTAGTGGGGGCGTCTCTCTGCCCTATCGTCGACCCATTGTCCATTATCTCCTCCCCTTTACCCAACTTACCCGCATCACATTCACACACACTCAACACCGGTTAGCTGCTGCACAAAACCATATCAATCACACTTCAGTTTATCTTTTATCCCTTTCCGGTTCATATTAGGCTCTCAGATCTCTTTTGTGAGCCCACTCCTCATATCACGGCTCACCTGTATGAAAAAGCTCGAATAAGTCAAACTACCGTTCTTATGGACCATAATGCCTTGCTTGAAAATTGCCTTCTTAAGCTTCTTGATGTTCATGTCTTTCCTTATCATCCCTTCTATATCATCCCCAGATGAACCCCTGGGATGATATAGAACTTCTCCTACGCTACAAAAAGAACTCGTCAGTTTCGTGGAGCAGCTTTTTTCAGGTGAAGCACTAGCATGATTGTGTCTTCGACTTCTTCCTTACTTTCTCCTTTCATTACCATTTGAATCAGGTGGACTTTAATTCGCAACTCAGTTCGGAGTACGCCATGCATTCGCCTTTCACAGAGTTTTTGCATCCACAACACAGGCGTATGAGCTTATG